CAATTGTGACATGGGAGTGCGTGCGAGACATCTGTTGCGATGGTTTTATTGTGGTCAATAATGATGCCGACACCGCGCAACTGTGCACGGACCAAGGCATTGTGAATGAAGTGCACAGCAAGAGCGATTTGGAGGAATCGCAAGGATGACGAAACTTTGGAGCCAGCACCCACGAGTGTGCTTGCAGCAATTGGCTACACTGATAGCCTCAGGCAGCTTGTACAGTCCAACTGCGCTACAACGAACGCCGCTTCAACGAAATTTCTGCTACAACGAAAAATTCACGATTCCCCGTCAGCAGTCCATAGGAGTCAATGTGTAAATATTGTCGCCACAACGAACACTTTTTCTTCCATCGCCTCACTTCAACGAAATTTTACAATGCGATTCCAGGCTCAGATACATATTGCTATGCAGTAAACCCAATCTTCAAGATTTCGATGCATTTTCAGAGCCTGAAAATGCGTCAACAAAGTCTAAAACAGCGTTGGCACCACCAGAAACTGCTGCTGTACCGCCGCTATTTAGCAAGCATGGGCGCTGCCATTGCTCGGTAGTGATGGCAATGAGACTGCCCTATTTTTGTTTTGCCACTGGCTTGCTCTTGAGCCGCAGACGATCCGAAGCTAAAGCTCAGTCGATCAGTTCATGGTTTCCTTATGGCAGCTGCTTGGTGCAACCGCGGCACAATGCCTATCATTATGTTAGTGCTTGGCCAGTGCGGTAACTAATCAGAGCATATGTTCGTCCGCATTATCAACAAAATCAGCTAGCCGCTAGTGATGGATAATAAGAATGGCATAGAATAATGCAAATGTCGCCGCTCCCCCGATACCCTGCCTCCATCTCAGCGTTGTCGGGCACTTTGGAAGGCGGACAGCTGCTGGTGTTAACGTGTTAATGCAGCTGTTTGGTTCGTTCATGAAGGCAGTTTTAGGCCTTGTTTCAGCGTGCCCTTCACTATGGCCTCGCTATGCATGGGTGAGAATCGCGTCGTGACGCTGCTGAGAAAGAATAGGAAGCAGAGGACACTTTTTGAATTTTGAGAATAGACGTTTCTTTGTTTGGTAGCTCAGATCAGCTAATGTTTTCGATTTCACTACAATGAAATTCTCGCTTCAACGAAATTTTTTCCACGCCCCTTCAGTTTCGTTGTAGTAGGGTTCGACTGTATATGCCATGGACCTCGGCGCAGAGCACAATGCCGCTTTAGGTAAACAAGAGACCATCCTTACGCTTCTGCTATTCGAAAGACATAATCACGGACTTTTTAGAGAAAAAAAAAAAACGTGGTTAATCTCCCTATATAGGAATCCGCATAATCCGAAAGTGAAAAGTGTCATTACATAGGTAGTAGAGCGTTTACTGTGCATTACTTGAGCAACAGCAAGAAATTGAAGTCAAGTTAAGAATGGCAAGCAGTTCGAAACTTGCAGCACACACCTCTTCAAGCACAAAGCACGCACAAAATTAGCATACACAGGACAACCACCAACTAACAACTCTCATAGCTTGACACTTAAAGTGCGCTGTTCAAAAAGAAAGACGCACGAAACAAGCGCACAAGCATACACAAGACGAGCGCGTACAACTGTCACAATTCTTCCTGTGTCGTTTGTCAGCAGCGCGCTCCTTTCGGAAACGCGGCCGTGGCAGCGTGCGATGTGACCTTCGTTTTCTCCTGAATCAGTCTGATAAGCGTGTGTGCAGGAGACAACGCTCCGTAAAGGCGGCGACCTTTAGAGCGTGCCTGACGTGAGCCTGTCGCATTATCTCGCCATCGATAACGAAAATGCGCTGAAGTTTCAAAGCTCTGAGTACTGCCAAAAGATGTACGGAGTATATAATGCTTTGTCGTTCGCACTCCCGACAACGACGTTGCATAGAGTAGAGATTAGCGCTGCGTGCTGAGAATCGAGGTCGCTGGTTTGATTCCGCGAAACAAATGCTGGCCTTCTGATTTTTAACATCGGCGTTGCGGTCTCCTAATGACTTGGAGTGGCCGAACACACGAGGGTTGGGTTTTCCCACAGAAGCGAGAGTTTCAAAGGGGGAGCGAAATGCTCCCAAAATTTCGCATCATCAAAACAGCTAGCAAAAAAAATCTATTTCTGTCGAAGCAACTCGCATGTGTCTTCACACGTGAATGAACGGGACGACGCAGCTGGCTGCCGCAAAAGCACGGGTAAAAGCTTTGGCTTTGGTCACTACTAAATTCTTCGGACAAGAACGCCAAAACGCTTCTAGCCTTTTTTACGTCTTTACCATCTTTTAACTTACCGCTGTGTCGGCCACTTGCCCTCGGAGCTCGTAGATTGCTATCACATCGCTGCGACTATGGTTTTGTGCGTGGCAGTTGCGGCAAACGGTAGTTTTGTTTTCAGTCTATGTGCCTTCAAAACTAAGTAGTTTTATGCTATCTATAATTGCAACTACCGCGGTTTTGTCCACAGAGTTTGCGGAAAGCAGCGTTGCTTTGACTGGTGGAGTGTTGGCCGTGCGCACACTTTTGAGTTCTCTCATTAACACCATCGCCATACATGATCGTGTTAAACGACCGCGGTTTCGTTCACAGTGGTTGGGGCAACGACAACCACACGCACTGTAGAATACAGTGCGTGCAGCGGTGACCGCACTTCTGCGAGCAATGGCATGGCAATTGCAACCACTGATGCTCGCACTTCAAGTATCCAAGAGTGGATTTCGGCTCCGATTCTCGCTAATGAAGAGACTGCGTGTTGGGAAGAGACGCGAGCGGACACTTTGAACGTCTTACCAGCAACCTCAACAACAAAGAGGAAATTTTAGCGATGGAATAACGGTGAAAATTACAATGATGTTGTTCCCAAGACATGATTTTTCGTTGTAAACAAGGTGATGATAAATAAGCTGCTGTCGGAATTTCGCTGTCACGAATGCGGGATGGCCCCAGTTAGTTTTGACACTGGACTTGTTCTTGGGCTTGAAACAAAAATGGAAGCTACATGTGACCACTGTGGTAGAATAAATAAAGAGTGGTAGTCCCCAAGATGTGCTGGCCCTCAGCAGCTCAACCACCTTTGAAATAAATGTTGAAGATGTCAGAGCTGTGCATCTGTGGGCAAAAATCAAACTGCACTGCATATTTTTTCCCACATAGACATTTAACATACGAGATTACACCACAAGTCATACAAGGGCTGCACTGCAAGCGTAGTCACCCTGCCACTGCATCTGCAGCAACAGCAATAGAGGCTGCAAGTTCCGAGAAAATGCGCCAGATATATACGGACCTTGGATGTGCCCCTGAGAACATTGACGTCATGTATGATGGCATATGGATGACGAGGAGCCGCATAAGCCACGTTAGTGTTGGCTGTGTCACTGAGTTATGTCCTGAACCACTGTGTCAACTACTGCCAGGGCTGCGCTCTTGGACCAAAGCCTCAAGACAGTGGATACTTGGGAGTGGTACGGAAAACACAAACTGCAGAGCCGAAAAAACACAGAGGCGAATGCAGGGCAAATGGAAACGATTGCAGCAAAGACGACGTTTCAGCGGCAACTCCAAAAACACCAGCTTCACATACAAGTATCCTTTGTGATGGCGATAGCCACATGTTTACCGCCCTCAGTGAGGATACAGTCAATGGCTTTATACCCATTAAAAAAAAAATAATGTGTAAATCATGTTAAGAAAAGAATAGGCACAGCTTTGCTCGACCTCATGGAAAAAAACAAGAGCAAGGACCGAGAGCTCAGTATGAGTGGAACAGGTCGTCTCACACATGGCCTAATTATAAAACTCGCGGACTATTATGAATGAGCCATCAGAAGTAACCCAAATGATGTGCCCGCCATGGAGAAGGCTATCAAGGCTACTTTTCACCGCATCACGTCTACTGATGATGAGCCTCACCATGAGCATTGTCCAACTGGAGTCAGCTCATGGTGCAAGTTTAGTGCTGCCGCAGCCTCGGGAGAACCAGCACCTGCATACAAGCTGCAGTTTCCTGCACATGTTCGAGCAGCACTCCTGCCTATATAGAAGCGGCTTTCTAAAGCAAGGGAACTTCTGGAAAGATGCCAGCAAGGCATAACTGAACTCCGAATGCCATTGAGTCGCTCAATAATGTGATTGGTTGCTCCAGTCTAAAACATAGTTGGCCTCTCTTCAAAGTGTTGAGAGCGCTGTGACAGATGCAGTTTGCTGCCGTTTTAATGCTGGCTGGGGTAAAGCACTTCAAGAAATTACCCCACAACCTGTCTACACTCCAGGATCACGCTTCCTGTAACGGGCTGTTGAAAAGGATGCACGGCACAAGTCAACTAAAGTGTATGAAACTGCTCAAATGAAGTGCAAAACTGAATAGAAATCAGAAGAAAATGTGTCCTCAAAAGCAAAGGAATACATCCCAGGCGAGTTTTAGGTGCTCATAGCTAATATTAAACTGTTTTCATGTAACAAAACTTTGAGCTCCGTTTTCTCAGCTTCTATTGTTTTGAGAAGGTGCTGTTGGTCATACCAGTGCTACTTTATAACTAAGGAAGCTAAAATCATTCTGTTTTTTGAACTTAGCTCCTGAAACACTGGTGAGCGCCCGAACGCTATTCATTTTTGTCTGCAAGTCGTAAAAATTTTATATTTGTTTTTGCAAAATTTGTCGGTAAGAAAACATACATAAGAAATTTCAGAAATTTTTACTGTGCTCATTTGGACACAAAAAAAAATGGTATTATGGCATACAGTGGGCCTTGCTGAAATATGTGTAAACAAATATGTTACCAAAATTATGTTTACTTAACCAATCATTAGAGTATGATTGAAAAGATCTATTAAATGTAACTTCGAAACTATGTCAGATATCTTAAAATTGATTTCATTTATGATATCAGCATAGCAAAGCACGTCAGTGTACCAAATTTCATCCATATAGGCATAAAAATAACAAATAAAATTTTCATTGCCACGTGCCCCCCCCCCCTAAGAGGTTTCTTTTTATTTCGATTGCACTGCTCACCTGTGATGCAAGCGAAAAGTTTGGAGGTCCAGGCGACATATTCTTTTTCTTGCCACCAGAACCAGCATTGCTTGCACCACCGGCGTTATTGGCTGCAGATGATTTCCTCTTTCGGCGTTTGCTTGGAGGCCGTTGGGTTTCTGATTTTTAAAAAAAGAAAGGTGAGATCAGACTGCCACTAAATTTTCGTGAAGAATGTTTATGGCAGAGAGCCAAGATGAGAGCACAAGACATGCAAAGCAGCCAAAAATAGGGACACAAAGAGCAACTAACAATCGCATGCTCCCTTGTAACAACAAGCTTAACAAGTTGTTAACATTCAGTATGAACTGTGCTGTCATTTCACACAGTGCGACAGTGCACAATACTAAAAAGGTGCAACTTTTGTCATGCAGCCCTTCAGCTACATGCAAACCAGTAGTAATGACATGCATTTGCACTGACACGCAGTACTGTGTAAAAGTACAACTAATAAAAATAAAAGCAGAAGCCAAACAAATAGATGACAGACAACTTGAAATAAGCAAAACCAGAATGAGAAATAAACACAAAATAAAAGCTCAACAAAAACTTTGATAAAAGAAAAAAATCACCAAGAAACTGTGTCCTCAGCATGAGTCTAAGTACATAAGGAAAGGGAATTTAAGTGCAAGTGCAAACAAAACTATCCTACTGAAAGAGTCTACGGAATTGCTTACCTGGTGGAGCAACCATTCGTTGCCACTTCTGGAAGAGTGTGGTCTTGAGGCAGTCTCGGGGGCTTAGGGCATAGGCCTTGTGCCGTGACATTAGCTCTTGCATTGGCTCCAAGATGACACAAAGCTGTGCAGCGATGCCAGACTGTCATTAGCACAAACACACTTCCAGGCCCATACCTTTGCCAAGATCAAATCGTGGATGGTCATTTTTCTTTATTTTAATAATATAACAAATTCCACAGTGCCTGACCACAAAAGAAAATTTAGGTGCACTAGAAAAAGAAAGCATATAGTACATGTAACGCTCTCTGAAATCTTTTGCATGTAAACGTTTATTGAGTGACTAAGCAATTTTTTTTTTTTGGCAAAGGTAGCATAAGTCACTACACTACATTACAGTAGGAGAGCAATTATAAACACAGAGTACATAGACACCACTATCTATTATGTTATAAGCTTTATTTCACAACTAGTTGTGTGTTTATTAGAACCTGAATGACAATACTTGCTGGCAATTTTTGTTGTCGACACCATTTCAATCGCAATACTTTTGGTTAAAGCTTAGTAGTTTTAAGTGCCAAAACTAACGTATAATTATGAGGCCATAGGGGAATTCTTTTAACATACACCTAATGTATAACAAGTCACTCTCACTAAAACGCAGTCACAAAAGTCTGTAACTGGTCCCATGCCTCCATGCTTAGCTGTGCAACACCATAGCCACTAAAGGTATTGATTTCCTTTTAAATAAAGCACAGTACAAGATTTAACAGGTAAAAGTTTCAATCTTTAGTGCTACACAATGAATACTAGACAAGTGTCATTTGTTAGTGGGTTCACTATGCCATAACATTGCATGAGGGTTCGAAGCAGTAAACTGGGGAGCAATGCTCGTGGGGTCCACTTCTGCCTCCACTGATTGGCTAAAGCTCGGCAAGCAGCGCGCCACCTGTTTCCAGTTTTTCTTCCGCAGCATCAATTTGAAGTCACACAGCCCTCACAACTCGCAACACAAATAAAAACTGAATGGGTTTCGCCACAACGAATGATGCCCCCAGAGGTGAGCTTTCAATGCATATCTCGGAGGCTATGCACGAACTCTAATCACGTTAGCACCTGAATTAGGTGTAATGCGGCCGCCCACGTGACGCACCTTGAAGGTCTGAACACATACCCTGCATAGTTCTTCAAACATCTCAACTTGTTCATACACAAGTTCAGTTTTGTCAAGTTTGTTGAAGAGTCCCATTACTGTACATTTCGTCCACTCGCATTCTCTTTATGCTGCAAATGTGCTGGTGGGTTCGGTGCATTAGAGGTCAAGAGTGCCGTGATGTGACGCGTCACCACTTTTTCGAGCAACTGAATGCACTCCACTGCAGTGGACATGTCTACTAGAGGGACACCACGAGAATAGCTCGCCTGTAATACAGTCGTAGTAATTAGGAATACATGGATACCACTAGGCTTCAACATTCCATCCACCAAGCTGGCTCAGACGACAAAGCAAAAGCCACCCAAGATCAAAATCCTGGACAAGCATAAATTTTTCACTACATGAGAGGCTTTCTTCTAGAGAAATGCATGAGGATTTCCGTCACCTCATGTGAAAAGTAGGTAGACAATGACTGTTTACCCTTGAACATTACACCTATTTGGTATCAAGGCAGTTCTTACATACCCTCAAATAATTCAGCGTAGAATTTGTCAGGCCTTGTCTCGTGATGTTCTTGGACAGCTGTTCTAACATGCCTGGGTCTTGCTGTTGAGCCTGAAAGACATAAAAAAAAACACCAAACATGCAAATGCAAAACTATGCAAATATAAATCAGAAAAACAGTGCATAAATTTGAAATATAGCTATCCAAGTGGCTATGTTAAGGAGGTTGCATTTGCTAGAACTCTCCCAGAAAACAACACGCATTGTATAAAAGCTTCTAACAATGACAGTATGTATGTATATGGCAAATTAACACCATTCAATGCTGCAGAAATAATGCCTTTTCCTCACCTCATTCATCCAACTCAGCACAAAAAACTTGGCAAGAGCTATGCTTGAGCAGAAAAACATTAAGTTGCCACACGGTGATCTCACTCATTGTTGAGTCTAGGCAGAGCAGTGGAATAGTCATTGATATCCCTTTTTGAGCCACATGCATTTTGTGTACAACAAAGAATGCGCAGTCCTAGGTGCTGACTTGTTAGATGTTAAAATGGAGTTATATGCCTTCAAATTCGTGACAGCCAAGTTGAACCTGACAATAGATAGCAAAAAGTTGCACTATATATACATTTAGAAAAAGCATATTGTTATGGTGATGCATACTTCTTTTTTCTCTAAATTTTTGTCTACATACCGTGCAGTTGATATATGACTTAACTATTCATTCAAGATACAGTATAATGTCGACAATACGAATTCGTGAGGAGCATGCGAAATATTTGTATCATCCTTAATTCATATGAACCAAAACAAGTGAAAGCTGATCATGAAGATGAACAAGAACTTTATTCGGGCCAACAGCTTCTTGCTGAAAGAGTCCATCATGTTCTTTTGAACTTTTCTGCCTTCGCTGTTTTTCAAGAAAGCTGCCTGAAAGGAATAAAACCGCGCTGCAGTTCCTCCCTCATGCTGCTGGCACTTTTGGTGCATTCACACTTGCCCTCAAAGGGAGTCCAAGTGGCACAAGTAACATGAAATTAATTCGCTTTGCTGCCAAGTCTACCCGAACAACCAGTCCTGGAGCATTCACACTTGAGTAAGAAAGACACCAGCGGGTCCGAAAAACCACGTCTATTTGCATCTTAAAAAATTTTCTTATTTGTTGTGCCCCTTGGACATGTGTCCGCCGCTTTTACCATCTAAAAAAATTTATTCCATTTTACCTGTTTCCTGTGTATTAAAATTCATACAGAGCTTTAGTTATGCATGCAAAGCACTCAAAATAAACAGTTGGCATCATGTAAAGCATTGTTTCAGAAGATATGCCAGCAGAAACGACATGAGCGGGCAACGGCGACAGATTTAGCCGGCTACGCAAAAGTGAGACACGCTGGGGCATGCAGACTCACTACTTGCTGCACGACTCACTACCTGCTGCACCTTCTACTTCCAGTACTTTCGGTGATTGTAATCAAAACCAGACTCTCGATGAGCACGTACTAGTCGAGGCCGTGAGCTTTGTCGTACTGCATGGATAGTTTGCAAACATCGGCGTTGCGGTCTTATAATGGCTTGGAGCGGGCGAACATACTAGGCTAGTTTTTCCACACTAAGGCGCAAGTCTCAAAGGGGGAGCGCACAAGTACTGCCTGAATTCCGCGTCATCAAAACAACTAGCAAAATCATTTTTGTCAAAAACATTGGCGTATGTCTTCCTGGAACACATGAATAGAGCGGATGAAGCAGCTGGCTGCTGTTGCGTTTGGCGGGCCACCCTTTTGGCGCGGTTGCCAGAACGGAAGAAAGGCAGCTGTCTAATTTTGTGGAGATAAAGAGCAGCGCCAAGACGCCCTGCTGTTTCCATGTGCTGGGAAATCACTCTACGGAGCACCGCTGTCCAGTTCCGCGCAGAGATGTGACACGTGGTGTCTTCGTGCCCCGGTAAAAGCCACAATGCCAAGCTTCCGTCGATTACGGTCGTCGTACCACCACGCTGTGCGTCTGTTGAGCCACCGATGCTAAAATCAATACCAGATGTCCAAGTATGGCCCCTCGGAGGCGCCTAGACCGCAATCGCCGTTCGACAAAGCTTGGGTGGTCGGTGCAAGCGGCGAGATGACAAACACGTTTCACCCCACTTGCTGGAAGCAAGTTTGCCGGAGGAGACAGCATCGCCGGGACCATACATGTGTTTGGTTTATGTATGTGTGTTTGTTGGAGACGGTGCCGGCATAATGACACTCTTGTGTGCTGCGGGACATGTTATTGGACAGTGCCGTATGGACCTATTCCCGGATCTGATTGATTTGTGGGGTTTGACGTCCCAAAACCACCACATGATTATGAGAGATGCCGTAGTGGAGGACTCCAGAAATTTCGACCTCCTGGGGTTCCTTAATGTGCACCTAAATCTGAGTACACAGGCCTACAGCATTTCCGCTTCCATCGGAAATGCAGCCGCCACAGCCGGGATTTGATCCCGCGATCTGAGTACCTTAGCCACTAGACCATCGTGGCGGGACTATTCCCCGATCTAGGGATCTGGGGAGATGAGACTGTATTTAATCAGTCCTCACGGGCTGCTTAGTTTGGTTCAGTGGGCTTGTTCAATAGACAGCCTTTTTCAATCTAGAGCTTTCAATGTAGAGCTATGGGCCAGAGAGCCCGTGCCATGTAAATAATGTAAATAAACCCTCTCTACGAAGTTTGACCTCCTCCTGCCTTAACATCTTGATCCCGGATCTCCGGTGCCACAAGCCCCGGTCGCAACACTGCCGCGAAAGCATGGGTCAAAGCTTTACAACGTTTTTAGATTCTTTGGACAGGAACGCCAATGGGAAACCAGCGCTTCCCAGGAGGCGCGCCTACCCTTCCTCCATGCGCGCCTAAAATTTACACGATGCGCCACCCTGGCAAGAAACAGTCGCACAGAGCCACCGCGAGGTGTACTTTGACCACGTTTTAACGTGCACTCGCGCCCCTTGCGTGCGCTGAAACGCCGTGCGGCACAACCCCTGGCTTAGCCCGCTGTGCGTCATGTTATAGGTACTTTGGAACGCGCAAGACCAGCAAAGAATCGACACTTCGCTGAAAACTGCGACGCAGCAGGCTAGCAGCAATTCTTCTCCACTACGGTTTCAGTGATGTGGTGTGCGTGGTGCAGCAGTGTCTACATGAAAACTGCAATGACCCGAGGAACGTGCTACGCACAACAACAAAAAATGTGAGAGTCAAAATGCCGCTACGCACGGCACTCAGTTAGGGTGGCTAACTCTTGGCCAAGCGACAATGGCGCCAGAACACATAGCCTAGCTAGCAGAAGCAGCACGCTCGATGCACGGCACCACATTTTTGCGGGGTCACACATATTTACAACAGTCCACAGGAGATTATGGTGGCACCGTGAGAGTCTTCGTCACCAAAAAGGTGTTAAGCAAAGAATGCGCTAGGGCACGTATTCTTTTCTTGGTAGTCCTGGTGCTGCATGGAAAATCATGCAGTCAACTTGGCCTTCTTTCCCCATTGAAGCAGAGGTTGGCATCGAAATTCTTGCTCGTTTCCAAGACATTCGGCGCCGTTCTTGCTATTTTTATGCTTTTGGAGCAGCTTGGCGCAAGAAAACGGAAACATATCAAAAATGCGTAATATGTGCAGCTGTCTCACCCCTGCCAGTGTAAAGTGGAGATCAATGATGTTAGAAGATATGCAAACATGTCGCAGCGGTCGTGCTTTTACGATGTCGACTCGCCATTGTCTAAATATAATACCTAAAAAAAAAACATCTTTGACCAACCTGGTGGTAATAGACATTGTGGTGGTTCTGTGGTTGACATGCAATGTGTGGTCAGTAATACAACAAGCGTAGATCATTACGGTTTTTCTCACTGTCATTCTCTTGTAACCGGTCGGGAGCTATGCACGTGACAATAAGATATAATACCATATTTACCCGAATGTGACATGAAGTTTTTTTTCTTTCATATTTCTGCTACTAAAGTCGACCCTCGCATACCGAGTACCAAAATTGTCACTTTTTTCTTCTTAGACTAGCGAAATGTCACCCCTTGCGTTACAATGGTGATCCAATAAATACGGTGTGTGTAATATGCGGCATGACGCTTAAGCAACCAAAGTTTTCAGGTGCTTTCTTGGATGTTTTCAAGGCAAGTTCTAATTTTGTAATATCTTCTAGAGCATGAACCCCTGTCAACTATATTGACAAGGGTTCGTGCTATGGAAGATAGAAGGAGTCAACTATGTATGCTCTGGATTATTTTTTCTGTTATTAAAAACATATGTCGTTGTGGCATTCATAAATGCAAAATAACGCCGGTCTCGAAGCTACTTTTTCCTCTTCTGATCATCGCACACGGCGGAATGGCTCACGTTAGTATTTTTTCGTACGCCTGAATGTTTCCAGCTGCGCTCCACAGGGCAGCACTGCATTTCCGCGGGAACTCCAGCGCAGGTTCCCCACACACTTCTAGCTTTTTTTCACATTTTTATTGCCTTCAATCTACCGCTAAGTTAGCCGCGTGCCCTCGGAGCTCTCAAATCCTTATCGCATTGCTGCGACAGCAGCAAACAGTAGTCCTGTTTTTAATTCCCATGTGCTGACTGCGGACGTGCCTTCAAGACTAAGTCGTTTTTTTTGCTATCTATGATTGTATCTGCCGCAGTTTTGTGCGCAGTGTCACTCTGACTGGCCGAGCGTTGGACCCGAGCATACTTTCTGAGTTCTGGCATTATGTAGTCATCATGCATGATCGTGTGAAGAGCAACTGCGGTTTTGACCACAGCGGTTGTGGCAAACGACAACCACACACATAGAAGACGATGCACGGCCACGCACATAGTACTTCTGAAGCTCCGAGCTTATTGCTCCCAGGCTTCGTTCAATAATTTCAGCACTAAAGTTCATATAACCCGTCGCGATGAGAAAAAGTGTTCAGAGCACAAAAATTTTGGCGCAATGGACACCATTAAATTTGGCCGAAGAATTTCAGAAATTCGTACCTGCCAGTTTCACATCCCTGGTTCGCAAAGGATTTGCAAAATGCGATACATTTGCAAAATGTCTGGATCGGATTGGCCTGCATTTTCTTCAA